TCCAAAGAGATGCAAAGACAGAAGATTCAAGGGATATATTAAAAAACTTTAGCAATTGGTGAACCAGGGAAGAGCTACATTCCCTAAGTAGACAACTAGGAATATTGTCAGGCCCCGGAGAGTAAGAAGATTTTAAAAATGTATAGCTAAAAGGAGAGAGGAATGGGAAATAATAGGAGCAGGTATAGAACTGGAGGAATTAATAGTATAAGGGTAAGAGTTTGTTGCATTTGACGTTATCGGCAGCATCGATTCTTTGCTTAGTTGGTTGGGTGCGATATTATCGGCCACGCCGATATCTTTTTGTCATAGGGTCAGAGTTTCGGGGGTGAAGCTGGGCCCACAGCGTAGCCCAATTTGTTGAAAGGTGGCATCGCCGGGTTTGCGATCCACGGCGCCAAAAGGGGCGATTGCTATTGGCCGTCCCAGCGGATCGCCTGCCCTTGAATATGCCCTTGGCCTTCATTTGGGCCGTTCATCCAAAAAAAATGCAGCTATGCAGATGGGCAGCAACGGTGCCCGCCTCGCAAATGTATGCGTGCCGAAATTCGGCACCGATGTTGATGCCCAAATGTACAGCAGGGAGTTTGATTTGATCAGCGGTCAACGGCGGGCGTGCCAGCTCGAAGCGAGCTTATATATTTTTGCATGTCGGCCCCATAAGTTAAAATTATCTGGAAAAGTTTTCCGCAACTCAAAATTAAACAATAAATTATATTCTGTGCCGTTTGTTAATAAAATCTAAATTTAAACATTGTGTCAAAATATACCAAATTTGGAAAAACTTAAAACTTACGTGCGACACGAGACGAACAAACAAAAATCATAAGACTATTAACAAAATAAACGGCTCCGGCAACGACGGGACCAGCTCTCGCAACAGAGAGGCCCACGAAGTCACCCCAAAGGCCAGGATTTGGCAGAGTCAGACGTTGACTCCTGATTGTGCTCCCTGAAAGAGAGCAGATTTTTTTAATTGTTAAATTTGTTATTTTTGCTTGTAAATTATTTACACATACATAGGCACTTACGCCAAGCTCCACTTTAGAGTGCGAAAGGTTATGCATATCCGCCTATAAAATATAAAAATTAAAAATTTGGTACTTGCGCGAACAATACTCACATACATACCTAACTTGAATTACCCCTTTCTATCGTCCCTTACCACCCCCAGAGAGCTCTTCAGGTAGGGTAAGGAAGAATTAAGCGATTTAATATATATATATATCAACTACCTGTTGCACGACTGATTATCGTGACATACCCGGTTATAAGTATTTGCGTGGCTACACTGTTCCTAAATAGGTGACACGATTGCCTCATAATTGCATTCTTGTTTTTTCTTTTTGCGGCGACTAGCAATAACTTTGCAGTGTTTCGTCGCCTGTTCCATTTAAGGTTGTTAAATTAAATAAAATGCATTCTGTAAGATAAATGAAATTTTAGAAACTAATACACATTGTCCATAATCATAAGTATATGCAACAATAATACGCACCTGGTGAAGAAATGTTCACGTGCATGATAACGTAATTAACTGAATGGAGATACCTTGTAAAATAGAAAGAAATAAGAAACATTAATTGTTAATAATTATAAGGAATGCAACCAATTATACGCACCTACTGAAGAGAGAAATGTCCGGCTAAGTTTAACTTGATGGGGAGAGGGGCCATAACAGCCGACACGGGCTGCAGCAGGCCATCTAGTGGCCAAAATGAGGGAGACGAGATCAAGTGATCGTCTCAGGTAGGGCGGGCACGCTGGGTCCGAAACCGGGACCCGATCTGGAAGAGTTAAGTGGATAAATAGGGTTTTATTGTTAATTTATATTGAGCGTCTCACCTTTGTTGCTTACATTTGCTTACTGTTAGTGTTCTTCATTTGTTAGAAGTTCCGATTGTTTGTTGTTATCGATTATGTGGTTCATTTTGAATAGTGTTGTATAGGTATGTTTTGCTACAGACGCTGTATTTTTGTTGATATCGATTGTGCAGACTGCGGGCCAGGGATGGGACTACACCCAGAGAACCGATGAGCCAGCCGGCGCGGCCCACCGAGAAGCAAGCAGTTCCGTAACAATATGGTGCCCAAATTGAAGAAGCACTCGGCTTCTTTGAGGTCGGTGTAGAAATAAAAAAAAAGATAAATAAAATATCAGTGAAGGTACAGCAAGAGTCTCCCTTGGCTTTAGGATCCACACCGCTGAAGTCTTATGTGGCACGAGTAGGTGGCTCATAATCGCGCAGCGTGTAGTGGAATCCGAGAAGCATTACGGAAGTAGAGAATATCATAATATCTATAAACACGAGAAGTTTTTCTTGTCGTGGTTAATGGCGGTAAGCTACGTTCGCATGTTGGCGAAAAGTTCGCGACCGTTTATCGTAGCCTGGTGGTAGCCGCAATGACAAAGGCATCTCGTGATAAAATGTAATATTAGGGTAGTTTTGTCAGATGTTATTTATTCAATTATTAGTTTTTGTCTCATGTTGTGTTAATGTTGGACGTATGCTAACAGGAGTTATATAAGCTTCGGAGACAGGTGACCCAGGACGATGTAGATTCGATCCTGCGCCGCACCTGTCACACAGCATGCCCTAAAGGTTCCCAGAAGTGCGACAGAAGCCAAATAGACTTCAAGGTGGCATTCCTTAAATGCCGTTCGTCAGTCAAACTAATGAACTGAGCATTTGACGAATGCTTAAATGTTGTCCACTGTCCAGATTAGGCGTAGACAAGTTAGCATGTGTTAGGATTTGTCTTCTCAGACCAGCGAAGGGGTGGATGATTACATCCATCACATGCGTCAGCTCGCCGCACGATTCCTGAAGCCGCTAAGTGACCGAGAACTGGTGAAGATCATAAAGCGTGGTTTGAAGGAAAGCCTGGCAATATACATCTACGCCATGGATGTATTCACCGTGGATGAGCTGAGCCAAGAGTGCATAGAAGTGGAGAGGCACATTGGTCGCAGAGGCCAGACCGGGTAAGTGCAGCAGTCGCGTTATTCGCAAGGACCAAAACCGACTCTTCACGAGGTTGAAGATCACCCACATCGTGCGGAAACGCCGCCTAGAGAACTGGCCTTAGTGCAAGGCAGGACATCATCCCGACTAGTGTGCTGGAACTATAGGCAGTTCGACCATGCCTTTAGACAGTGCCTGTCTAAAGAGCGAAAGATATTCTGCTGTAGATGCGGAAAGCCGGATACATTCCGCGATGATGGCGGGACAGACGCGTTCGGAGACGGCGACCGTGGAAAAACAATTGAGGAACACCTACCAAAGCCAATAGTCATTGAAAAGGAGACGGGTATAGACCATAAGGACCAGGATAAGAATATTTGTAAGGAAATGAACATAGGAAGAACATTAAGAGGCTTACCATATGAAGAACGCGTTCGAGCATACATGTCGGCCCAAAATATAATTTTTTGTGAGCGACAGCTGGCTGGGATGACGCTGGCCACCCGAAGAAGGGTGAAGGCTAGAGCGGCTTCCGCAGACGCAGGATGACGAGGCAACAGGTCATTGAGGCTGTGAAACGGGAGGAAAGCCTAGACCCTCGCGTATTCGCGGGGATCTAAATGAAAGGTTTGTTAGACACAGGAGCCTTGGTCAGTCTGCTGGGAAAAGGATGTCGAGAACTAATAGAAGAATTAGGGGTTACGCTGCAACCTTACGTTTCGGTAGTCACAACTGTTGAAGGCGAGGATAAATCGATCATAGGTACGGTAGAACTCCCAATCTCGTACAGGGGGCAGCATAAAAAAATAACGTTGTTTATCTGCCCGTACCTTAAGCAGCGAGCCTATTTTGGGATCGATTTCTGGCGAGCATTTAACCTGGCCATTGACTTTTTGGGCTCCGAGAAGCTAATCTCCACGGAACATCAAGGGGAAGAGCTCTTGGCCGTGTCGATGACGCATTATACGGAAGAAGAGGAAGAATTCCAAGGTTTGCCGACATCATGGGAATTGTTTAGGGAAGAAAGAATAGAATTGGAGGCGGTAAAGCAGGAGTTTTTGTCTTTAGAACGTAGCGGATTAGAGACGACGGACTTAGAGAAGCACACTTTCGACTTAGTGGAAGGTGCCCAACCGTTCAAAGATAGACCCTACCCATTATCACCAGCGATGCAGAAAGTAGTGGATGAAGAAGTGGACAAAATGTTGAGTTTAGGGGTTATAGAAGAGGGCAACAGCCCAAGGAGTAACCGCACAACAGTAGAGCGAAGACCGGGGAAAAACCGTTTTTGCCTCGATGCACGCAAGCTCAACAATTTGGCGGTGAAAGACGTGTATCCACTACCCTGTATAGAAGGTATCCTATCTAGAATAGACCAGACCCACTACATCTCCAGTGTGGATCTGAAGTTCGCGTATTGTCAGGTCGAACTAGACGACAAAAGCAACCCCTATACTGCATTTACCGTACCAGGTAGACCACTATACCAGTTTCGCGTTAAGCCATTTGGTTTATGCAGTGCAGCCCAACGTCTGGTTCGTCTGATGGACAAGGTAATTCCCAACGAGTTACGGTCCAACGTCTTTGTGTACTTGGACGATTTATTAGTTATTTCCCCAGATTTTTCAGCCCACTTGAAATATCTGCGACAAGTGGGAAAATGTTTAAGGGAAGCGAACCGTTCAATCGGACTGCACAAATTAAAAAATTGCTTCAAGGCATTTAAATACCTAGGATTCATTATTGGTGGCGGCACGCTTCGCATGGACCCCGAACCGGTAATAGCTATTAAACGAATCCCCGAGCCTCGGTCGCGTAAAGAATTTCGCTCATTTTTGGGTACAGCAGGTTGGTACCGGCGATTTATGTGAGATTTCGCGACTATGGCCGCACCACTGACCGAAATGTTAAAAAAAGATAACGGAAAGTTTGTATTGAGTGACGAGGCAACACAAGCCGTTGAACAGTTGAAGACCGCCCTGACCACAGCCCCAGTGATCGTGCACGTGGATTTTTCCAAGCCCTTCTTCGTACAGTGCGATGCGTCTCAGTTCGGAGTGGGAGTGGTGTTGTTTCAAAAAGACACTGAGGATCAGGATCGACCCATAGCCTTCTTTTCAGCCAAGTTGAACAAACACCAACGGAACTATTCCGTCACTGAAAATGAGTGCTTAGCGTCGGTAATCGCCATAAAAAAGTTCAGAACCTACATAAAAGGGATGCCCTTCACATGCATTACTGACCACGTCAGCGTAAAATGGCTGATGTCCATGAATGACCTAAACGGGAGACTTTACCATCCAGCACCGTAAAGGGAGTGAATGAGCCGACACTCTATCGCGCAGGGTCGAAGCAGTGGGAAAGGTTTCAGAAGGCCTTCTCGAATTTGAGACCACCGAGTTCGAGTCCGCGGAATATCAGGCGTTGCTCGATCAAGTAAGAGCGAATCAAGACAAACTACCAGATCTGAAAGTTGAGGGGGATTTGCTTTTTAAGCGCATGGGGTTCGTCGACTTGGAAGTCGAGTTAGAAGGCACCGTGTGGAAGTTGTGGGTACCAAGCTCGTTGACAGCCGGCTTAATATCGAAGGCTCATGAAGATGATACGGTTGGTCATGGGGATGTCGTGAAAACGCTCGAGACTTGACGTTGGCAGTTTCACTGGCCTGGCATGGCTAGTCAGATAAGGGATTGGGTAAAACAGTGCGTGACATGCAAGGAGGTCAAGGCACCGAACTTTCGCATGCAAGTGGGTCTAGGAAAAGAGGAAATGACCGAGCGACCATTCCAAAAACTGTATATTGACTTCCTGGGAAAGTACCCACGAAGCAAGGGCACGCTTGGATCTTCGTGGTAGTCAACTATTTTTCGAAATTCACTTTCTTGAAAGCAGTGTGGATTTTTTGGTCAGCGAGGTTTTCTATAAGTTTGGAGTACCCGAGGTCATCCACTCTGGCAACGGACGGCAGTTCATATTAAGTACATTCCAAAATATGATCTCAGCTTTCGGCATCTCGCACATGCGCACTGCGGTCTACGCGCCACAGAGCAATGCAAGCGAGCGAGTTAATCGGACCGTGTTGTCGACGATCCGTGCGTATCTAGAGCAAGATCACCGCAAGTGAGTCATCTACCTTTCGGAAATAGAAGTGTCCATACGCAATGCCATACACACACCGACAGGGTTGACTCCTTTCATTGCCGTTTTCGGACATCATATGTTCCTAAATGGTGCATGCTACAAATTGGCTCGTAGGTTTGGGTCTCTAGGTGATCATGAGATTTCTCATTTGCACCCAGCTGACAAAATACACCTGATTAGACAGCGAGTCCAAAGCCAACTATACCAGGCTTAAGAAAGAAGTCATCGGTAGTACAACGCTCGAGCCCGGGTGTTCCAGGCGGAAGCCGGCCAAGAAGTCTACCGACGCAATTTTGTGCTGAGCAATTTTGGGAAAGCTTTTAACGCCAAATTTGCAAGAAAGTTCCTTAAGGCCAGAGTAGTGCGTCGAGTAGGCAACAACTCGTACCTGCTGGAAGACTTGAAAGGGAAGCCCTTGGGAGTGTCAGAGAGTTCGATTTGATCAGCGGTCAACGGCGGACGTGTAAAATATAACTTTAAGCTCGCTTCGAGCTGGCGAGCTTAAAGTTATATTTTTACATGTCGGCCCCATAAAATAAAATTTTCTAGAAAAGTTTTCCGCAACTTAATAAAATCTAAGTTTTAACAGTGTGTCAAAATAAATCCAATTTGGAAAAACTTAAAACTTACGTGCGACACGAGACGAACAAACAAAAATCATAAGACTATTAACAAAATAAACGGCTCCG